AAAAACTTACCATTTTATACAGGGTGTCCACAAATTTAAACTAATCAAATAAGAACTTTAAGTGGCTATAACTTGATTAATTTAAATACAACCCCCTATTTTTTAGCTTACCAGGAAATGCAACTTTTAATTACTTATCGAATGGTACTAGGATGTTGATAACTAAGTTTTTGCCTTTTTACAAAATAAACCAAATAATGGTTCTGTGCACCATTTGGTGTTTTTTCATTAAAAAGTTAAATAACATAACAACAATAACATAAAACAAAGGCAAATTATTTATAACAAATGTTCGAAATGTTGATCGTTAATTTCCAGGCACTTGCAAATTCTTTCTTCAAAACAACTGCTAACTCTGGACAAAATTTGCGGAGTTACAGTTTTAAAAGCGTCTCTTATGCGTGTTTTCAAATCGTGTGAAGTTGTCGGAAGCGTATGGTAGACAATTCCTTTTATGTACCCCGCAAAAAGAAATCTAGTGGAGTTAAGTCCGGAGATCTGGGAGGCCAATTTTCAAACCCATTTCTGCCAATCCACCTGTTATGAAAGTTGGCATTTAAAGATTGCGGAACTTCGCAGTGATAATGAGGCGGAGCTCCATCCAATTGAAGCCACATGTTGATTCAACAAACCATTTAAATGTCCTTCAAAAAATAGGGTCCAATTAAATATTGGCCCAGTATTCCACCCCACACATTAACTGACCATCTATTTTGATTTTTCATGACCCTGTATGCGCGCGGATTCGTATCAGAATAGTAATGAAAGTTGTGTCTATTCACGAGACTGTTATGAAAAGTATATTCATCACTAAATAAGACATTTTCGAAAAACTTTTCATTTTCTGCCACTTTATCCAGCACCCACATGCGAAACTCAGTTCCGTTTTCAAAATCATTTCCATAAAGTTCTTGGCAAAGCTGAATTTTATGAGGATAAAAGTTGTGCTCTTTGATAATTCTGGAAATACTTGATTGACTAAAGTTAGTACTTTTGGATATTAGATTTTGACTAACATTGGGATTTTCGATAACTGAACCAATTTTCGTGAAAACATTTTCTTCATCTTCAGTGACAGATTTCCTTGTAATGAGTTTTTTATAATTGACATTCCCACTTTCCTCAAATTGGTGTAAAAAGCGCTTAAAAACTGTTGGCTTAGGCTGATTTCTTTCAGGAAAGTTTTGAGCATAAACTCGAGAAGCCAATAAACTATTTTTATGACATTCTCCAAGGGTGAAAATCATGTCAATACGCTCTTCTCTTGGATAATTCCTCATCTTAAACTAGCAACACAATAATAATATTAAAATAACGACCAACACGTCTACAATTACAAAAAACAATACCACTCTAGC